TTAATCTCAAATTCCCTTACTAGATGTTGTTTTAAGACCTGTAATTCTTCCTTGAAAATTATAGTGTTAAAGGAATTATATTAGAGAATTAGTGCATGAGTGTACCAAACAAGAGAGGAATCGGTAGTGTACGACACTATTTCGACAACTATTCAAAGTTGACTTTTTGTACCCAACTTAAAGCAACTTTCCTCCAATCTTCCAACACAAGCCAAACACACAAAACCCTCCTCTCTCTCTCTCTCTCCATAGTCAGCCGAACCTCAAGGAGGAAGAAGGGAAAGAAAACTCCTCACTTCTGGCTTTCATTTTGCTTGCAATTCATCATCCAACTTTCTAGCTTCTTAGAGATTCATCCTAGCTTGGAGTAAGAAGCAATCTTGTGGAATTTTTTGGAGGAAATTTCAGTGGAAAATCTGGTTTTCTTCAAGGGTTTTAAGGGTAGCCACTCCACCTCTTTTATCTTTCAAATTACAAGAAGTTTAATGGTTAATCTTCATGGGTTTACAACCCTAAGCAAGAAAATAGGTTAGAGGACTTGAGGAAACCATTTATTTCACTTTAAATCATAGGCTAGCGGACTTGATGAGACCTCTAGGTAGCTGACTTGAGGCTTGATTGTTTGGTTGTGGTTGTTTATGTAATATATAGCTTGATTATGGTTAGAAAGTGGAGAGAAATCGAAGGAAAAATGAGAATACAAACTGGCCGAAATTTCTGGTCATGTTGTTCTATTTTAGTTTTGAAAATTTGATGCTTGGTTGACTGTGAAATTGATGGATATATGTTTTATATTGTGTGTACAAAGTGCCTTTCAAAAATCGTATTGAATGGTTGTGCAAAACTTGAGTTTTTGGTAGAGGTTCGAATCTGGAAAACGTATAACAGTGCACTCGGATAGTGCTTATTTGTCTGAATGTAACTCTTTGTACAAAGGTCAAAATTGAGTGCTATTTGTGGCATTCAAAACTAGACATTTATATCTTTCCAACGGTATAAAAATCCCCTACTGGTTCATTTTGAGTGAACCGTAGTGAGTCGGCAAAGTTGGCTGTTCTGTTTCGACTGTTTATGGGAATGAAACTGAGAAGCTGCATCTTGTGGCTCGATTTGGTCCCATTTGTGAAACGATTTTCAAAATGATGTCTTCTGATAAATTGTAGCATTTTGAACCTAGTTTCCAACGCCATAAACCATTCTCAATTTGAAGTTGTACAGAGCTAGATATGGTTTGATTTCGAAAATGCGACAAAGCTGGAAATTGGAAGATTTTCCCATCCTTGCTGACCGAATGGTCAAATCTGTTTTGGGAGGTTATATTTCGAAAATTTTAGTGTCATTTAACCATCAATTTCTTATTAAATGTTTCTGGAACTTTGGTTTCAAAATTGGACTGAATTGAGGCTGATTTCGTTGGACAAAACGTTTGAAAAAGAAAGAGAAAATAGGATGGCAGATTTGCTTTGAAAATTTCATCAACTTTGGTCATTTTGTTAACCGTCTTCCCGTGCAAGTTTTTGCCTAAATTTTGATAGAGAGGTAGTCCATATGGAAGTTCAAGTGCACCAAATTTGGTGTAATTTCAAGGTCATTTCGATGCCCAAATGATGCCCCAAACATTGCTTCTCGAATCTAGAAATTCGCTGATCAGATTATAAAAATCAACCAAATTTAAACTGTTATATCTTGTTGCTCAAAACTCCAAATTTATTTCTATTTATTGTGTTTGAAACTTTGTATGGAACTATTATTGTGTTACAAATTTCAAAGACTGATTCACTTTCTGTGAATTTTGCCGAATTTCCAAATATTGCCGAAAACCAAGACTGGTTTTGTCTTACCTTCGTGAATTAGCAACTTTGAACTTAAAAATGAATACTTTCTGTTTAGTATCTTGAAAAAGTGTCTTCTAGGAACTTTTAGTACTTTGAATCTAGTTTCCAATGGTATAAATTTTTCTATTTTTGGACATACCGAAGTTAAGATCTGATTTTACCAAATTTATCGCACAAAGCTGAAAATTCATGTTTTCTTGGGAAATAAGTTTTTGAGAACTTTTTATTGTCTTTCGATCTTGATCAACCGTTTTAAGCTCATTTTCATGGAGGATGCAAGTTTCTCTTGTGACTTTAAATCCTCACTTTTGAATCTCGATTTTCGAGATATTAAAGCTCTTTTAAGACATTGTCTTAGTATTACGCAAGTGCACATTCTTCCTTGTTTGGCAAGGGGTTTGTAAGTAATTGTGAGTGATAGTTAATTGTTATTTTTTCAGGCACTCAAGAGGATCTTGAAGAGGATCTCAGAGCTAACCACCAAAGATCTTATTTGCACTTACTCACTTATTTTGAATTGGTGAGTGTCAAGTGCATGAATTGTTGAAATTACTTGAATTGCTTCTCATTGATTAAATGGTTTAGAATTGTCGAGTGAGTGTATACTTTATCGCACTCGTCCTCTTTTAATTGGTTATATAATTGAATTGCTCATAATTGAATTGTATATGGTTGATTAAATGTCGATTGGAGTGAACCTCGTTGACTTATAATTATAATTGGGGGACGCCCAAATTTCAATTGGCCGACCTTGCGACTCGAGCCAGCATGGGCTTGGTCGAGAAGCTCGGTGAACCATGAGATAATCAAAAGGTTGATCTATTAAGAGATCTCATTTGGCATACTCGTGGAGTATTGCCTTTTATAAAAGAAGTGCGGGTCCGGAGCAAGAGGTGTAACGGTGAATAGGAGAGAAGAGTAAGTGGAGTTTTACGGACTTAATACCTACCCGGTTGACGGAGTGTCATCGCGGGAAAGTATTTGATTGAGGCTTGGCAAAGCAAGTGGAATCTAGCTCTTGAGAGATCCAGTATCCTTAAATTGTTTCTGCATACTTTTCCTACTTGAAATGTTAATTACTTGAACTTTACAGTTTTACGTACTGTATAAATGTTATTGTTACTTGGACTATGTGTTTGCATGTGTGTTTCTTGGCCTCACTGAGCGTTCGCTCACCCCATTAGTTCTTGACAATCAAATTTAATTTCCTATTGGTGAGTCTTAGCGTCCGCCATGCATCCTTCTATCCCGTTTCTTGAAGCGTAACAGCATTTCTCCACGCATCATTTTCTAATTATATCAACTTACTTTGATTGACCGATGTCACGACAGACTTAGATTTTATCCCACTGACAGCTTTTACTTCGGTTGAGCTTGAGTTTTATCCTACCAACCTCGGCATGCTTGGGTTTTATCCCACTAACCGCTTTTACCTCGGTTGGGCTTGAGTTTTATCCCGTCAACCTTAGCAAGTTTGGGTTGTATCCCACTGACCGTTTTTATCTTGGTTGAACTTGAGTTTTATCCCACCAACCTCGGCAGGCTTGGGTTGTATCCCACTGACCGTTTTTACCTCGGTTAGGCTTGAGTTTGAGTTTTATCCCGCCAACCTCGGCAGGTTTGGGTTGTATCCCACTGACCGTTGTTACCTCCATTAGACTTGAGTTTTATCCCGCCAACCTCGGCAGGCTTGGGTTGTATCCCACTGATCGTTGTTATCTCGGTTAGATTTGAGTTTTATCCCGCCAATCTCGGTAGGCTTGGGTTGTATCCCACTGAACGTTTTTATCTCGGTTGAGATTGAGTTTTATCCCGCCAACCTCGGCAGGCTTGGGTTGTATTCCACTAACTGTTTTTATCTCGGTTGGATTTGAGTTTTATCCCACCAACCTCGGCAGGTTTGAGTTGTATCCCACTGACCTTTATATGTTTGCTTATTTCAATTTGCAGCAGAATAAATACAGGTAAGTATTTGGTGTCTACGTCTTTGTCTCGAGTCTTTTCGAAATTCAGACAAAGAGGGGCAAGTTTTAGACACCAAAATTTTATTATTTTATTTAATTTTAGCTTTATTCTTGTTTTATTTTATTTTATTTTTATTTTTATTGATTAAATGATAGTTAATGTTCATTTTGTTTATTTTTATAAATTAGGTTTACCATTTTCATTTTTAAGGTATTTTTGCATTAAATTTCTAAAAGAGGAAAATTCTCACAAAAATTCAAAATTTGTCTTTAAATCTTTTAGATTCACTTTTTTAAGATAAATAAAAATTGTGCAATGCCATTTACAATTAGGAGTTAACATTTTTTGTTGTTTACCTAAATTGATTTTGGAAAAAATATATAATAAATAAATAAAAATAAGAAGACAAGTGTATTAGGGGATCATTAGACAAGTGTATTAGGGGGATATTAGACAAGTGAAGTGCATGCAAATAGGACAAATGTCCTCATTCTTGGTTGACAAAACATGCAAGGGGGGTTTAGATGGCTAGACACTTGGAAGCCTAGGATAATTTGAAAAAAAAATGATAGAAGCAAAAGGGGGCTATGGGAAAACTGGAGCAAGGGGGAAGATTCTGGTAAGGGAAAAGAGAGAAACGTCTCTTTCTTGAGAGTTCTTTTCTCTCTCTTGAGAGTTGCGCTTTTCTTCCTGTGTGTGGAAGTGTATGCCAGCAAGTTGCAAAAAGTTACCAACAGCAACAAGACTGGACCTTTGAATTCACAAACGACCATCTACCGACAAAATGCTAGATTATATGCGTATGGATAGATGACAAATCCTCACTTTTGGATGCATATGCTTCAATAACAACACTATTTATGGCGGTGACGGGATTGTATTCTGAAAAATGGAAGCAGAGCTCTCATTTGCACTGATGAAAGAAATATTTAGAGGGTATAAACTCGATCGTATCATTAGCTTGCCAGGTAAAGTTTTAGTAGCTTACTGCTCAGTCTAGTCAGCTTTGTTTTTCTTTTTTCTGTTTGTGTTCTCTGTTCTTCCCTGGTAGTGTCGGTTGGGGTTGTGCCTGACTTAGTACGTTGGTGCTAGATTGCGTCTCTTCCTTTGTTGCTTGATTTTGTTGTTGGGTTAGTTCTAGTGTTAGTTTGCATTCATATTTTCAGCTGTGATTGGTATTTCCCTGGAATTTGGGTGGGGATGGCGGAGGCTGTGGATATCATGCACAAATTTGTGCTTTCTGAGAGAGAGCTATGTGGTACAGCTATTGAGTTGGGGGATGCTGATACGGGTGTCCAGGAGTGCCAAATGAGCCTAGTAGGGAAAGTAGTTGGGGAAAAGATAATCAATTTCGTGGGGGTGAAAAACTTTGTCAATCTGACTTGGGGATATCCTATGGGGTTATTTGTGATGGAGTTAGGTCCTAACTTGTTTCAGTTTGTTATTCCTTGTGCAAATGACAGAGAAAGGATTCTGAATGGAGGCCCTTGGATAGTGGACAGTCAACTACTGGTACTTAGGAGCTGGTATGATGGGATTGAAGATGACCGGTGTGCTTTTAGTTTGGCCCCTTTGTGGCTACAAGTTTGGAATCTCCCAGTTCATTGGATTTCGAAAGAGGTAGGGTTGAAAATTGAATCTATTTTCAAAGAGATGAAAGAGGTTATCATACCCCAAGCAGGAGGAAAGGAAGAGAGACATTTGAAGTTATTGGTGGTGGTTGATATTTCCCAACCATTGTTGAGAGGATCAGTAGTTAAACTTAATGGAATGAGGAAATGGATCAGTTTTAAGTATGAACGATGCCCAGATTTTTGTTATGGTTGTGGTATCATTGGGCACAGTGAGAGAAATTGCAAAACATCCACCTCTTTAGGGAGAGGATTGTCTGATAATCAATACGGCCCTTGGTTAAGAGGGAATTGAAACAAAGGGAATTCCCAGGTTGAGCAGCCTAGAGGTAGAGGGAGATCTGATCAGGTGGTTTGGAGTTTTAAGAATGGGAAACTGGTACGAAAAGGGGTTACTGAGGACCATCAGGATAAGGGTTCAGGTATGCTAGGGGTTAATGAACAAAGGATCATAAGACGAGAGGAGCAAATTCAGGCATTCAAAGGGCGTAAGGAGGCTAGCTCAGAGGGACCGAGTGGTACAGAGTTGGATACCACATCTGCGGTGGTACTAGATAATAAGGTTAGTGACATTAAGGTAGCTACGGATAGGGGGTCAGGTGAACTCACTGCTAATAAGGAGGAGAATAGGGATCAGCAAACAAGTGAGGGTGTTATAGAAGAGGGAGATGTACGAATGGAAGAAAGGATGCAAGGAGAAAACACAGTTGAGGAGAGGCAAAAAGAAGCTGTCCACAAAATGAGCAAGAGAATTAGAAGACAACTCAAACCTCCTAGCAGGAATAGAAATCCGGTAGATAAATTTGATGGTAGTTCTAGGAAAATGGAGACTAGAGGAAAGAGGAAGAATTACCAGGAATATGCTAACATAGAAGAAGTTATACACGACATGTTGACATCTAAAAGGAATAAACTTGATCATTCGCTTGAAATTAGAATAGATGTTGTTGATGGAGGGAGGGGGACCAGCCTTAGTGGGTCCCCAAGTGTGCAATGAGGGTTTTGGTGTGGAATTGTTAAGGAGTAGGGAGCCCCTTGACAATTCTCCAGTTGAGGGAGGTTTGCAACCTCCTCTCCCCTCATATGATTTTTTTGTGTGAAACTAAAAATAGGGAGCAGTTTATGGAGCGTGCTAGGAGTAGATTGCGTTTTGATCATAGTGTGGCAGTCGACTCTATGCATAGGTCAGGTGGTATGGCTCTTTTTTGGAAGCAAGAGGTGAATGTTATAGCTGTAAATAAGACAGTTTTCACCATTGAAGCTCACATAGTGGACCGTAGCAAGCAAATTGAGTGGTGGCTGGTTGGCATCTATGCTAGCTGTGATGCCGCAGTTAGGAAGAATCAATGGCAAGTGCTGAATGCTAGGAAATGGCCGTGGGGACAAAAATGGATAGTTGCAGGAGACTTTAATGACATTGTGTCAAATGATGAGAAGTGGAGAGGTAGGAGAAGAGACGAGTGGTCGTTTAGAGACTTTAAGCAATTTATTGATGATAATGAACCGGTTGATGTAGGTTTTGATGGGAATCCATGGACTTGGTGCAATAACTGGGAAAATGAAGGGGAAATTAAACAAAGGTTGGACAGAATGTTGTGTACTTTCACATGGTTCCAGAGTTTTGACAATACAAGGTGTAAGCATATAGACAACTATAGCTATGATCATAGTATGCTTGTGGTGGATACTGAACCTGAAGAGAATAAAAGAAGGAAAAAGTTCATCTTTGACAAAAGGTGGATTGAGAGAGAAGGGATTGATCGGGTAATTAAGGAGGCTTGGGGAGTGGATGTGGAAGGTTCCAAAATGTACAAAGTCACTAGGAAAATTTCTAATTGTAGAGTGGCTTTATTAAAATGGGAAAAAAACTTCCAGAATAACTCTAGGAAAGTTATAGACAGAATTAAGGCTGATATGGAGAGATTAAAACACTCACCTGATTTCACTAAAGGAGGTATGGATGAACTGAAACGTCAACTCAAGCAAGCGTACTCTAATGAGGAAATGTACTGGTCTCAAAAGTCAAGAGTGACTTGGTTGAAGGAGGGTGACAAAAATACATGATTCTTCCATGCTAGTGTTAAAGGTCGAAGGTGTAGGAATAGAATGTCCAACATACAAAGAGATAATGGGACCTGGACACTGTCAAAAAATGAAATAGGAGAGGAAGTGACTAGCTACTACCAACAGCTTTTTAATAGTCAAGGGTCTGAGGGTAGTGATAATATTCTGAGGGGTATACCATACTCAATCACTGATCATATGATTGCTAACTTGACTAGAGCTGTCTCTGAATTTGAGATTAAAACTGCACTCTTCTCCATGCATCCAAACAAAGCTCCTGGTCTTGATGGAATGACACCCTTGTTTTTCCAAAAATTCTGGAATCTTATTAAATCTAATGTCATTCCAGCAATCCAAAGCTTCTTCCATTCAGGTTTCATGCTTAAGTCCTTAAACCACACAGTTGTCTCTTTGATCCCTAAGATTGACATGCCTTTTAATCTCAAGCACTATAGACCCATAAGCCTGTGCAATGTCCTATATAAAATCATTTCCAAAGTGCTTGCAAATAGACTCAAACCAATTCTGCATTGTTGTATTAGTAAGAATCAAGTAGCTTTTGTCCCAGGGAGACAAATTCTAGATAATGTCATAGTGTCCCATAAATACCTCCACTATATGAAAAACAAAAGACAAGGACCTGTTGGTTGTATGGCATTAAAACTTGACATGTCCAAACCTTATGATAGGGTGGAGTGGAAATTCTTAAATGCTATCATGCAGAAAATGGGTTTCTCTGAGACATGGCTTAATTGGATATGACAATGCTTATCAACGGTCTTGTATTCTTTCAATATTAATGGTGAGCAGAGAGGTTATGTCATTCCTATGAGAGGTATAAGGCACGGGGATCCTCTTTCCCCTTATTTGTTTCTATTATGTTCAGAAGGTCTATCTAACCTGCTGAGAAGGGCTGAAGAGATGATGTTGATTACAGGAGTTAGGATCAGTAGACGGGATCCTTTAATATCCCATCTATTTTTTGCTGATGATATGTTGGTTTTCTGCAAAGCAAGTCCGGATCAAGCTGAAGAGATCATGACAGTGTTAGCGACATATGAACAAGGCTCCGGTCAGGTTGTAAATTATGACAAATCATCTGTGTTCTTTAGCAAGAATCTCCCTCAGGTGGTAAAAGATGAAGTGTGCAGAAAGCTGGGAAATGTCCAAATGGTGAACCAAGGAAAATACCTTGGGTTACCTATGGTCATAACGCGTTCAAAAGAGCAACTGTTTGGCTTCATTAGGAACAATTGCCAAAGACGACTGGGCAACTGGAAAAACAAAATGCTAAGTAATGCTAGGAAGGAGATATTGCTCAAAGCCAGCACAATGGCTCTACCTACATACGCTATGTCATGTTGCAAAGTCCCAGGCAGGCTATGTAAGGATATTAGCGCTATGATGGCCGGATTCTGGTGGGGAGAAGACAATGGAAGAAGGAAAATGCATTGGTGCTCCTGGACAAAACTCACTAAGAACAAATGTAGTGGGGGACTGGGTTCAGAGACTTGCAAAATTTCAATAAAGCTCTGCTGGGTAGACAAATTTGGAGGTTTGTCACATGCCCGAATCTACTCATAAGCAAGGTTTTGAAGGCTAAGTACTATCCAAACAAGTCAATATTTCATTGCAAGATCAGTCAAACTGCTTCATGGATTTGGAAAAGCATAGCCAGTGTTAGGGAAGAAGTGGGAAGGGGCGTCTGGAGGAAAATTGGGGATGGAAAAAGTACAAATATTTGGGAGAATAGGTGGATTCCAAATACCAAAGAAGGGAAACCATCTACTCTAAAGTCCCAAAGTTGTTGTCTACAAAGAGTGGAGGAGCTGATAGCAAACTTCAGGTGGAACTGGCACCTGGTTTTCAGAATTTTCAGTAGCAAAGATGCGGAGGAAATCCTAAAGATTCCAATAAGCTTGGCAGGAAGAGCTAACTGCAGCTATTGGGTTGCAGGTAACAATGGAATTTACTCGATCAAATCAGCATACAACCTGTTCAGCAAAGGGGAACATATTCAGCAACAAGACAGGCGAGAGCAAGGGGAAACAAGTATACATGGGCAAGGGGAAAAAGATTGGAAGAAGATGTGGAACTTGGACATCAAAGGAAAACTGAAGCACTTTCTGTGGAAATGCCTAAACAGATTGTTACCAGTGAATGAGATACTATATTACAGAACTAGAATGGGGGAACCTATTTGCCAAGTATGTGGAGATGGTGAGGAGACAATAGAACATCTGTTCTTCTTTTGTACTTAGGCTTGGGAGGTATGGGGGTTGGCACCAATACAGTGGGATGGCATTGCTGACCGCAGAGGGAACTTCAACAAATGGTGGAGTGGATTCATTGAGGCAACAAGTAGGAAAGAAGGAGCTCAGTACCAGGCTCTTACTGTGAACATTCTTTGGCAAGTTTGGAAAACTAGGAATGAGAAGATTTTTAACAATAGATGTCGTCACCCTTTTGAAATTGTACAGAAAGCTCACTTCAAATGGCTCGAATACACTGAAGTGCTCCATGGAGAAAAGCAAATGAGCAATCCAGAAACAACGGTAGGGTTGGAAGAGCAGCAGAACGGTAATGCAGACAGTAACATGATGCTCGTTACAGTGGACATCAGTCATCCAAACGAAGGGAAGCCATTAGGTATAGGCATAGTGGCTCAACAAGGAACTAATGTGCATGCAGCATGGGCCTTGACGAACAGAAGTTCAGGAGACACATTGCTGGATTACGCTACAGCAATCAAGTTAGCGTTGGTCAAGGTAAGACAACTGCCTTGGCCAGAGGTAAATTTGCTGGTTTCATCCATTCAGATGCTGCGACTTTTGAGAATTAACAAGACTCGTGATATCAGACATTTTGCTCATCTAGAGGATATCCACATGCTCAAAGCTTTGTTTATGAATTGCTCATTTAGCTTGGCTGGCAATCAGTGTAATGGTTTAGGTAGAAAAATTAGCATGTATGATACTACTTTAGTGCAAGATGAGGAATATATAAGTCCTCAGTGTCGAATGACACAATTGTAAAGCTCCGCATGGGCCGTTGCTCAAGTTGTATAGTTTGCTTTGATTTCAATACAAGTTTTAACGTTTCCGTAAAAAAAAAATTGAGAAACGAAAAAGCCAAGCTAGAGAGAGAGAGCTGGGGGTGACAGGCTGGAGGAGGAAAAAACTAGAAAAGAGAAAGCTTGGACAGGTAGCTAGAGGCTGAGGGAAACAAGGGTTTCATGGAAGAGAATCGAAACTGAGAGAGAGAGAAAAGGGGAAAGAGATTGGGAAAGGTGTTTTCTGGGCAAAGAAACCAAGCAAGGAAAGGCGGCGGAGGAGAAAGGGCTGGGACCATTAGCAAGGAACAGAGGAGAAGCTGGAAACAGCCGTCGCTTGCAGAAATCATCCATCACCACTGCCATCAGAACTTCTAAAAGCATCCCCAAAGCTGTTGCTTTTTGCTGTTTCCCTGTATTTTAGGTATGGCCATGTCTGATGGTTCTCTCTTTTCTTACCATTTTGTTTCTAAAATCTGTTTTTTCACCCAAGAGCCAACTCCGTCTGTTATTTGTTGTGTTTCATCCAACGCTCTCTGTTTCATGTCTGGGTTTTGTTGTTTGAGAAAGGTTGAGTTATATTTCTGTTTTGGCTGAGTAATTCGTGGGTTTGGCCTGGGTTTGGGGATAGAAGTTTGGGGTTTGCTTGTTGTTTGATTGGTAGGCCATATATGCATTTTACCGCAAGCTTTCTTCTTTCTGTCTTGGTTGCATTTTTTCTGAGAAATTTTTAAGTTTGTGATGAAATTTAAAAAAATTCTACAAAAGGGGCGATTTCGGTGAAATATTCCGTAGGGGGGGTCTTCGCATTTGATAAGCTCGCATTCCTGAAATGCGAGCTCAACAGATTTTATTTTATTTTTTCGGAGGTCATAGAGCTCGCATTCGCGGAATGCGAGCTCTACTTATTGAGCGGAATGCGAGCTCTCCCAAATTTAAATTTTTTAGGTTTTTTTTAGGAGGTAGACAATTTTTTTTTAGAAAATAGTAATAGCTAAATGCGAGCTCCTAAATTTTGTAATAGTAAGAATTTTATTAAAAATTTTACAAATAGCTCGCATTTGATAAATTTGACCACCAAAAATTGTATTTAATTTTTTTGTTGGATTTCGCATTTATAAGTATGACTATCAGAAAATTAAATTCAAACTTGCTAGGAAAAAATTTTAAATGAAATTTACGAGCTCCCAAAAAAATGTAAAATTAACTGTAAATGTTGTTTGTTTTGTAGAATTTGTTTTTACTAAAATGCTGTCGGTAGTAAAATCTTATTTTAAAAGCTGTACTAAAATCTTAAATTTTGGAGAAATGTTAGAGAAATGTTATTTAAAAATTTGTAATTAGCAGAGGAATAAATTTTATTTATTTTAAAACTTGCACGTGCCTAAAGTCATCAAATATGTGCTGTAAAAAAATCATATTTCTTTTATATTAAAAAAAGTTGGAGCATTTTTTACGGTTGGAAATACATTATTTTATTATAATACATTTAAATGGTGGAAAAAGTACACATGCATAGTTCTTTGTGTTCCATATATCAATGTAAAAATAGAATGAAATTGTTAACATGTAAGGTGTTGACTGTATTTTATGAATAAAATACTAACTTTTTTTCTTTTTCTATCAAATAAATTTTTTTAATCAAATTCTAATTTTCCTTTGTTATTAATGAATCGTATTTATTTGTTGATACCAGTGAATATTAGTTATAAGAATCTAATAGTTAATAGTCATTAATATCTGTTACAATTTCAATTGTAATTTTAGAAAGATTAGGGAGTGAACGGATGAAATGGAAGATTAGAAAGAGAGGGTTAGGGTTCGGTGAAATGAGGGAAGAAAATTGTGAAAAGTGCAGAAACGAGGCTTCGGTTCTGCTATATTTGCGAACCGATCCGAGTTCGGTTCGCAACTGAAAGGGTGCGAATCCGGCATGGTTCGGATCCGCACCGCCGAAAGCACAGACGATCCCTCGGATATTTGTAAAGAATTTTTGGATCCGAGCTCGGATCAATGGATCCGCGGTCGGATCAGTCTGGGCACTTAGGATCCGAGCTCGGATCTATAGTTCTCTGCACTAATTGCAGAAACTGCAATTTTTCAAACCTTTTCTCTCTTTTTCCGGTCAATTCCTAAACACGCGTTGGAAAAACGTTTTATGAAATCTAACCTCCCACGCACATGTAATATACCAAAAGTATAATATCCAATCTCTTAAAACACATCAAACACATCTACATTGCAAATCGAAGGGTGGGGTTCTTTGATCATTTTTGCATTTTTACACTAAAATGGCACTTTTGGGCATTACATGCACATCAAATGAGTCCATGAGCATGTATAAACATGTTATTAATAAAACTCACGTGAATATACTGAAAATGCAACATTGTACGTATGCTTGGGAATTCTAAACACTTAAAGCACAATTTGATAAGAAAACCCACCTTTTTACACTTATTCCTCAATTGTACCTCCAAAATAATGATGAAACTTCGGTACCGCCTGCAAACAAGTGAAATATATCTCATTAGTCAATTAAATCACACCAAAATGTAAGAAACACATAAAAACACAACTACAATATTATAGGATGTAAGGTTGCCTCCCAACAAGCGCTTTCGTTTATAGTCGTTGGCTCGACTCAAAAAAATTTCGATCATTTTAGAACAATAGGGAGGGTTTTTTCTCCCCATGGATCGAAACTTCCGAGCCACTCTTTTTTTTGTGAGCCAATAATTTTATTATAATACAACTATACTAACGAAATAACTACACATCTTGCTTCTTTATTTTCAAGGTCATACTAAAATTAAATTAAATTGTTAATAAGTTAGGGCATAATTTTCATGAATAAAATTGTAATCTTATTTTTAACTTGTCCATATGAGAATATTAAAGTTTGTTCCCTATATTTAATGGAAAAACTATGAATAACAAATCTCATATAATAACAATTTATAAATATATTATAAATAGTATGTTTAATTTTTTTTTGTTGAAATTCCGACATGTAACTAATTTACCGTGTATGAATTAGAGGAGAGGTTAGTATAGTTTACCTTTTTTGGTTTACATATGTAGCCATTTTTTTTTATTTTGTTTAAAAGAGTACTCATATAAAGTGAGAAATAAGATACGCGTGATGACATTGTTCCTAACCCGAATTCGTGAAATTTTAGAATATATACAAAATGTCACCAAAAAAGTATGCAATCCATAAGTTAGGTTATTTATACAATAACGATATAAGTAGCGTGCCATCAATGCTGTCCAAGTCTTCCATGAGTACCACATGTTGTTGGTTTGGGTATTCTTTGACTTCGACGTGGTCGGTTTGGGACTACTGTATGGACTTGAGTAATATGTGTCAACAGTGTAACATTTTCAATTTGAGTGCTTGTGCCTTTACCTCCTTCACATTGCTCAGAAGTATGCCGATATGAGTCCCTATCGAGCGTAAACTCTGGAAAAGTAATAGGGGACCTAGAATGCCCAATCGATACATCTCTCTCATGCATGACTTTGATCTGAGGAGTGACAAAAGTAGACGCGCCAGCTTGGTCCTCAGTAGCCATCGAACCTCCATGGAATCCAATTTGTATGGCGGGTTCTAGTGATCGGAGTTTACGACGTCGTCCACCGCCATGCTGACTTCCGTGGGTATTTCTAGGAGCTCGCTGAACACGACATGGATCAGGGTATAGTGGAATCTCCTGTGGTACGTGGGCAGGGCGAAATGCAAGTCGGCGTGACTCTCCTACATGATACAAAGATGTGGATGCAAAGTCCCTCAACTCTGAAAACATCTGCTGTGTTGTTCATCACTAACTACAAGAGAGTCCTGTGCCATGAAATACATGCGAGACATGGCATCACTTTGGAAAAACAAATATAAGAATTAGAATGAGATACTGTGGTAAAAAATAGTTTAAAATGTGAGCAAACTCAAAGTGATTATTAAAAGTGGGTTGGAAATAAACTTACAAGATATTGTGCCCTATCGCTATCACCCTAAAAGCCCTCTGGGAAAGCGGAAAATCGACTCAGATTTGAAATATAAATCACCGTCCGCTCCCGATACCACTGAAGATACTCATCCGATGGATAAGTAGTATCTTCAATTATAGTGCCATCTTGTACATGCACACGTGGATCAGTCCAAATATCAATATATTATCTATGCGTGGTGGTCCAGTCTTGATTCGCCCTACTACGACGATCTAGAAAATGTAGAGCTGCCTGATTATCCGTCAACCTCATATCGGGCAGGGACTGATGAAACCCAAACTGCCGCATAACCCGATGAGGGAGGTGCGACTCAACTACATCCCAACAAATAAGATACGTTACGGACCTCCAAATGTCCCGACCTGCAGTATAATATGTAGGAAGAGAAGCGAGAACGTCCTCCGAATATGGCTGCCATATGAACTGAAAAAAATATAAAATCAAAGTTGTTTCATTTTTTCTATTAAGAAATAATAAAACTTCCCAATATTCAATTCTAACAATTTCATGAAAAAAGTGCTCGGCTGTGGTCAATTTAAAAATTAAAAAAAGTGCTAGACAAATTGTGAAAAGTGCAGAAACGAGGCTTCGATTCTGCTGCAGCTGCGAACCGATCCGAGCTCGGTTTGCAACTGAAAGGGTGTGGATCCGGCATGGTTCGGATCCGCACCGCCGGAAGCACAGACGAGCCCTCGGATATTTATGAAGAATTTTGAGATCCGAGCTCGGATCAAAGGATTCGAGTTCGGATATGTCTGGGCACTTAGGATCCGAGCTCGAATCTGTAGTTCTCTGCACTAATTGCAGAAACTGCAATTTTTCAAACTTTTTCTCTCTTTTTCCGGTCAATTCCAAAACACGCGTTGGAAAAACGTTTTATGAAATCTAACCTCCTACGCACATGTAATATATCAAAAGTACAATATCCAATCTCTTAAAACACATCAAACACATCTACATTGCAAATCGAAG